TTTGCTGGTCTGCTATGCTGCTGTCGGCGCTACTTTGCTGGTATCGCTGTGCTGCTGCTGCTGCTGCTACTTTGCTGTTGCTGCTGTTTTGCTGAGAGTTGAGAGTGAGAGATGAGAGAAACGGAAGATGGTGAGTGAGAGGGAGACGGTATTTCAGAGATGAAGAGTGAGAGAGAAATAGAATTACAGAGGGATGTGTTGTTGAGAGTGACAGAGATTAAATTACAGATGATGATAGCTTGAGATAGATTGTTGATTCATTGGTTTTTTATGTTCTTGTGTAATTGTGGTGCTTGGTGTTGTTTGTTTGTCGGGCAAAGATGAATCACTACATTGATTTGTTGAACGAGCAGAACACCAGTGCTATGTTTCACTTTGAATTTTAAAATTTGGATTTGAATGTTATTGAAGTGTGTGATGTTAAAATGCGAGAAGTATTATATCTATGCGAAATTGAAGTTTAATTACAGTGTATATGCACACACATCGGATAAATAGGAGAAGGAAATTATAAAGGAAGTAGTTTTTAGGGAATCTGAGTTTGCACACTATCTCTCGAGCCTTCAAAAAATTATAAAGGCTACCTTTTTCAGTTCTAAAGGATTCATTTTTTGAGAGAATCTGCTGGAGTTGCTCAAATTAGGTGGAGCTGGCTAAGGCTGGCTGTGCCTAGCAGATGGGTTAGCGACTCACATGTCATGAATTATCCAAAAATATAGCTGTCTAGTCTCTCTCTAAAAGGTATAGTTTCTCCATCGAGTTATATCGTTTTACCATAGTTTTCTAGACGACAACACTGTTGTTTGACCATTTTGATCCAATGTTTTTCTTCATAACCTTAGTAAACGAATACAATTTTTTCTCCAACAATTCTACTTTGCAGTTATGTGCCTTGGTTACCCTAACTAGATATTTGTTTCTATTCTGCAGCTTCTAGGACAGAACCGCCAGCTGGGCAGGTAAAACCATGTCATCAATGCTTTTTGTGAAGAGTTGCCAACTCCAGTTCTTTGAATTTTTTTTGTTTGTGCACCTATGAGCCACTTGGGATGATCTGAAGTGTGT